GGCTGTGACCATTAACAGGCTAAGAGTTTCTTTTGAGGGTGATGAATACATTCTTGCACAACTTTGTGATTATTCTAAAAACCACTAGATTGAACACTTTAAAAAGGTGAATTTAAACTCAATAAGATGTTATTTTAAAAAATAGTACCTTTGAAAATCCTTTACTTTGACAATTGAATACTACCAATATGATTCCTGAGCATATAACCCTATACAGCAATATGCATGTATTGGTGTATAGTGTATACAGTAATATTCAGTATATAATGATGTGTACAAATGTAAGAGACAGTTTTGTAGTAGTTGAGTTCTATAACTATATTGTGCCCATTGATGAATTCCATAAGTTAAACTTACACATAATGTGAATCCATTGTAGTAGAAAGAGCACAAGATCAAGAGCCTGGAGACCTAGGGCCCAAGCCTAACTTCCCCTTTCAGGCTCTTTACTTCTAGGTCTGAAAATTGGGGAAGATGTAGACTAGGTCTTTAAGCTTCCTTCTAGCTCTAAAATTCTATAACTTGGATCACTGCATTCAGTTTTTCTTTAGTTATAGCAAAACAAGGGAAAGGAGGCAGACACTGCCAAGTTAGTGAACCCCCTGAGGATTTTTCAGGCAGCACACAAGGTTCTTTTCATTATGGAAGCCTCTGTGAGTCCCACCACACTGAACCACTGGGCTTCAGCATTCACTCCTGCACTTTAGCGTACATGTAACAGACCCTTCAGTGTATTTGGTTGGTTAGTGGAAATAATGATCCAAGAAGATTGTTCCAGACTGTTATCTCAGAGGAAGGGGGAACAGGCCTAGGGGTAGCATCGGGAGGAGGCTCCACTTGCAGCTGCTATGACTTGGAATGGGTGGGTGAGATGCAGGCTATGGAGAAAATCCAGAGGACTAGGCTTAGGTATGAACTTCGGTACTTCTGTCCTCCATCAATTTATTTATTCAAAATAAATTTTTTGTATGGGTAGAACAATGTTCAGGAAAATGAATTATCTCAACATTCTGTTTTTGTTGACTGATATGTAGAAATACAGAAACACACATATTGCTTAACAATACAAATAATTTGCACCTGAAATTCATTTGCTTAGTCCCCTGGAGCCCTACAGAACAAAATGTTTGTAACAAATACAGCTGTGCTGGCGATACTATTGCGTTAGAGAAAACAAAAACTTGGTCTCTGGTCCAAGAAGCTTATAGTCCAAAGGAAGTCAGAGAGAGGTTTTGAGAAACCTGGCTTCTAGTTTGGGGTTGCTTTTTCCCAAATGTGCCCTCTGCTTTTCTGATGGTGTGGCTGATTTGTTTTTTTTCAGCTTAATTACCCGTTTTCTTCACCAGCCATCAAAAGCCTACCCAGGCTTCAAGGTCCCACTTAAATGTCACCTAGTCTGTAAAGCTTTCCTGTCTTTCACTTCGACACCCTCCCCCTGCCCAGTCAAATGTCTTTCCCAACCTCCTTTGTGCTTTTGCAGTCCTTTTGTTCCCTCTTGATTACACTACCAAAGCCCACTTAAAGTGGTGTCTGTGGTTTAAGGGTCAGGAGACCCTGCTTTATTCATCAAACTTTCTCTCTAAGCACTTCCAGGATGACAGAAAAAAAGTCTGGAAACACAGAGGAAGATGTATATTTAAATAGTGTTAGTTATGTTTTCAAATATAATACAGCAAATAGATTTTCCTTCTATCACCAGGCAACTTTGCAAGCAAAATGCCTCCAAATTTAAAGCCATGGGGGCAATCACTAATCTGGAATTTTTTTTTAAATAAATGAAAAAGTTTCCCTATGTTCCTAGGTATTCTGAACATCTTTAATATGGTACCTTCTGCAGATGGTTGACTCATACTGGGGTTGTCTCTAGCCTTGGCACCTCCTTTTTCTCATCTGCAAAATGGAACTACTAACCTGCCCTTTCTCTTTCACAGGGTTATCACAAGGATAAATTGAAAAATGGCTATGCAAAAAGATAAAGCAGCATGGAAATGCAAAATGTTGTTCTCATTAACTATACAAGGATTTACTTCGTGTCCATATTGTAGCACTTGAGTATGCGGACTTTGGCTAACCTCATCACAGCTGCATTAAAAAGGATTCTCCATGAGTTGCTTAAGAGGGGAAGCCAAGAGGCTGATTACAGCTTAGGGCCCTGCCACGACCATCAAAAGTTACCAAAGGGATGCTGGGACTTCAAGTTTGTTTCCAGTTGTGCAGGAGGAAAGTCACAGTCTCAGCCACCTGCTTCCTGTCTCCACCATGACTCACACCTTTCAGGTCCACTTGGATGGAGATTCAGATGAGATCTGCTTAGGCCCACTGCCCAAGGACCTTGGTGGTGCTAAGGCTCAGGTAACTGTGTGAAGGGAGGAGTAAGAAACTGAGCCTGAGCCCCAGAGGGACTGAGCCAAGGTTACAAGACACTTTTTAGCTTATTCAGAAAAACAAGTTCATCCTCCATCATTGGTGGTGTAAGCATGTGGCTACTGCTTCCTGATAGGATGCACTGAGAGAGACGCAATACCACTTCTATGACATTTCTGTCCCAAATGTATAATCTGAATTTAACACACAAAGAAACATCAGACAAACCTAAATAGGACATTTTACCAAATAACTAGCCTGTGCTCTTCATTTCTATAGTATACTGTCTGAAAAGATAAAAAAAAAAACTCAAGAACCTTTCTAGATTAAAGAAGACTAAAGAGAGATGATCACTGAAGGCAATGTGTGATCCTAGATTGGATCCTGGACCAGAAAAAAGAAAACCATTGGGGCAATTGATAAAATTTGAATATGGATGGCAGAGTATGTAACGGTATTGAATCAGTGCAAACTTCCTGATTTTATAATTGTACAATGGTTACAAAAGAAAATGTCCTTATTCTTAGGAAATACATACTGAAGTATTTAGAGGTAAAGGGTGTGATGTCTGCAACTTAATCTCAAATGGTTAAAAAATTTAGTAAAATACATGTGGAGGGGAGAGAGGGAAAAAACACAAAAATAAAAGAAATGGGGAAAATATAAACAACTGGTGAATCTTTGTAAAGAGTATACAGAAGTCCTTTAAGTTATTCTTGCATCTTATCTGTAAATTTGAAATATCAAAGTAAAAAGTTAACAAATTAGTGAGAATTATACCAAAATCTAAGTGTTTTTTAAAGTTTGCTTTAGAAAACTATGTAATTTATTCCTTAATGTGTGTTTGCCTAACTGCCATAAAAAAGGGTAATCTGAAAAATAAAATGATACACTGAAAACTCGAGTCAGAACAGTGAGGCTCTGACTTGCTGCCACGTGTTGCTTGTTCTAGTCCTTCGGCAGTTAAATTAATTTTTAGAATTGAGTCGAAAGCAAAACAAAAACAAAAACAAAACAAACAAACCCACACATAAAGCCTGCAAACTCAATCAGGAGAAATGGTTTAACAGTGCCAGCACTCACCTCAATGGGTTACGGATGGTGGGGCCTCAACCTAAATGAACTGAACATGTCAGCTGAAAAGCAGAATGACTCAAGTGTGCAGACAGAATAAATGCCCAAACTTGCCCCAGCCCTTTGGGGAAGGCACTGGTGGAAGGTGCTGGGGTAGGTCACACTTCCCAGAAGGAAAATAAGGGCAAAGATGCACACGGCAAAGACACAGGAAGAAACAATGTAGCATCCATAGGAGGTTCCGGGTGGAGAGAAATACAGAAGTTGGAGCTCCTCCCTGTCTTGGAACGTCTACATTAACAAGCTTTGCTGCTGGGAAGAATGTCTGAAAGCTGACTGCAAAAACAATTTTCATTCATCTCACAATCTCTGGGTAAGATTGGTTATACACAGACAGTTCAGCAGACCCTCCTTTGGAAAAATCAAATAGCTCAGCAGGACAATTAGAAGGTTCTGGTCAGGGTCAGTGCCAGAGGTTAAAGGAGTCATCAAAGAAATGGAATGGGCATTAGGAATGATGGAGTAGATAATGGTCAGATTAACCAGGAAATTGAAATCCTGATGTAGAGAAAAGGAAATGAAAATGGGTGCCAGGCACTGATGCACTGTTAAATGTGTAACAACTGACTTTCTACTGGAGAAAACGACAACCTTAATTTGCAGTATTTGCTGATTTCGATGGTGTAAATATTCCCATCATGGTTGAGTTCTGGTTAGCAATATGATGTCACCGAACACACAGTTGGGAAGCTATGTACACAATCAGCTTTAATGAGCTAGAATAAACCGGCTGGTCGTCACCTGGGTGCCGGTCTTAAGTCTGCTACTACCTAGCTATGTCATCCTAGAAAATAACTTCACTGTTCTGGGTCTCAATTTTCTTATCTGTAAAATATCAATCTCACCAAATTATTGAGAGAATCAAATGAAACTAGTTTATCTCCATTTAAGATCTCTTCTAGGTTTGACCATCTATGGTTTTGTGATGGAGTTGGGCACATTGGCGACTTTTTGCCTTTCTCCTCATGCTGTCTTGTGAACCAGGAGAAGACAAGAGAATCCTGGAGGAAGCTGCTCTAGGGTGTGGTAATCAGAGCAGAAGTCACATTCACACCACCTCAGAGATGAGGTTCAAGGCAGTGGCCGCTCCAGATTTTCTGTACAGAAGAGATTTCTGGGTGGGAATCGGTTTGGAAAGTAGAGGCAGAGAATTTATACACATCTGTTATTTTAACGATATATGTATTTGGGATAACTTAGAGATGTAAATGGTGCACAGGGACAATGCAATGTATATATGTCCTCTCTTCCTATACTGTCCAGTAATGAAGAATACACAATGAAACTAGGGTCCGTTCATATTTTGATGTCCCATGAATTTAAAGGGAGTAACTTTGGGTTAACTTTCTTTCTGTCATTCACTGGAGCCTGAGGACATAAGCTGCCCTCGATGCTCTCTTTGCCATGCCTCTGAATTGGAGGAACAAGTGCTCAACTCACCCCCTGAGCTGTCATTTGGTGACACCATTAGCTCAGAATGGGTATTTGGGCCCTTGGTAACTCTTCCTTTTGGTTAAATAGAATCAGAATTAAATAAACTGGGCATCAGAAGAATAAATAAAAGGGACTGGAAGCTTGGCCCCTGCTGGGATTCCCAGGGCTTCAAGCTATTGGACCAGATGAAGGGAAATTCTGGCCTTGATGTGCTGTTGAGGTAAATGGAAGAGAAAACCCTCACCAGCCATTCAAAAAAGTCCAAGTGCAAAGGGCTTTAGTAAGGTATAAGAGACATAATACCTTGTGCTTCCGGAGGCTGCCAGGACTGGTGGGCGTAGAGATGGGAGACTGCTTAGACTTGGGGGTAGAGAGCTGGCTGCTGGAGGTTCCGTTTGCTAGCCCAAGGCAAGAGAAAAGGAAGGGATAAAAATCAACAGCATACAAAGGAACACGTTATCCTTCCCCTCTGAAGACACTAAGAACATTCAAACGAGGTACACAGACAACCAAGTGATTTGATGAGTAGAACAAAGGTGAAAAGAAACACATTCCTCAGAAAGGCAAGAACTACAATCCTCAGTTAATTAGATCCTCGCGCAGTGCACGGCGGTAATCCACCCACCCTTTCCCCTGAGCGCTTCCAATTACAGGGGTCTGGTTCTTTTCAAACCTTTTTCATATTCATTCCCAAGTTTGACCCTAGCAACATCTCTGGGAGGTAGTCTGGGATCATATGATTTTGTTTCAATTTTATAAGTGAGACCGAAGTGAGACACAGAGGGGTTATGTGCCTGAGCTTAAAGGGGAAGCAGTAGGAGTGATTCCAACCAGGACATATCCTCTTTGGTGGCAGATGATGTGGCAGCTGCAGAACAGCCCCATTGTCTATCTCTCCCCCTCTACCCTTTTCCTGTTCACCTTCCCCTCCACTCTCTCTTTCCTGCCTCATTCTGGATGAAAAGAACAGAAGGAAAAAAAAGAGGGGGCTAATTAGGAAGAAGAATGAAAAAGAAAGTGGAGGAGAAACTGTGAAACATAAAGAGAGGCTCATATAGAAAAATGGGCAGAAGAGAGACTCAAAAAAGAGGGAGAGAAAGAGATCAGGAGTGGAGGAGAGGGGAGACAAAAAAGAGAGGGTAAAGGATTCTCGAGGGAAAGAAGAATGAGGAAGTTTGAAATCAGGGAAAAGATATAGAGACAGGAGAGGATGACAGTGGCCAGAGTCAGAGGGCACCGCTTTCTTTGTCTCTAGTCAGTAAAATGCTGACAATGAAGTGGTTTAGTATTTAACATCTTCATATTCCATTGTGTTTGCAAATTGTTTTCTATTCCCTTGTTGATATTTTTTTAAAAGAGCCAATCATGTAAAAAGAAAAATGTGGGGCATTAAAATGGAACAATTAAACAGCTTTCAAAGTAGGTTCATGTTTAGACGTTTCATGTTAAAATCAATTTCTTTTAAAATCTTAAGATTTACATGGTTAAACAGATATTCTGAAATGTATTTTAAAAATAAAGGCAAATATGCCAAGGGTGTTGGGGGGTGGGTGGGGAGAGGATGGAAGGGAGGAGAAGAGAATGAAGGAGGAAGGGAAGACAAGAGGAAGGGAGAGAGAGAGAGAGGGAAAGAGAGATAATAGGAAATTGAAAAAGTTACGGAGAAAGATGGCCTGAGAGTGTTGCTGTTAGTCCCACAGGTAAAGCTTAAACTGGTATATCATGAATATTTCCTGAGGATAGCTTTCCTCTGCACCACTTATGGTAATGTTTCCCTAGCTTCTGGAACCTACATATCAACTGCAGAGATGAAAGAGACATCAGTGTGGTGGTTGCTGAGTTGATCCAAGTGCAAGTGAGCTGAAAAATGGGCACTTAGGCATCTACCATCTGGCTTTGCCTGTGCATCCGCTCATCTCTAACCCACTCACTGAGAGGCCTTTCCCCTTGTCAGGGCTTCTGGGAAGTCATTCATTCAATAATACAGTAGTTACAGAGTCCTTTCTCTAAGCTAGGTCAGGAATTAGAGGTTGGAGTGTCAGAGATGAGTAAGTCACTTCCAGTGAGGAGGGAGGTAAGAATACAGTAGATCAAAAATACAGTGGATCAGTGGACCATGACAGAGCCATACAAGGGATATTACTGGATCCCAGAGGAGAGGCTTTGGAATCAGGGGACAAGGAGGCAAACAAGAGGAGGCAATACCTGAAAAAATCTTGAAGGATGACTCTGGAATAGACAAATCTATAGAGACTGAAAGTAGATAAGTGGTTGCCAGGGGCTGGTCAGCAGAGGGCAGGGAGGAGTCAGGTGGGGGGGAATTGGAGAGGGTCTGCTAATAGGTACAGGGTTTCTTGTAGGAGGATAAAGATGTTCTGGCATTAGATAGTGGTGATTGTTGTGCAACTCTGTGGCTAAACTAAAATCCAGTGACTTGTACATTCTAAATGAGTGAATTGTTTATGTGAATTCCATCTCAATAAAGCCATTAAAAAAAGATAAATTGGAGCCAGTTAGGCAGAGAAGGGTAGAAGAGGTATTCAGGACTTGAGAATTACACCAGTAGAGCAAAGACATGGAGGTGTGAAAGAATACAGTCTGTTTAGAGAAGTGTAAATAGTTCCAAATGGCTCAAGCATAGGATGCCAGCAGTGAGTTCTTAGAGAAGAGACTGGAGACGAGGATAAAGACCAGACCCGGGGGTCTTTTGTGGGGACTTTTGTGAACTTTGGGTTTGATCTGTGAAAGAAATCTGGGAGTGATACCATCAGATTTGCATTTAAAATCTATTACTCTGGTTGCTGTGGTAAGACTGGGGTGGGGTGGGGTAAGAGTAGAAACAAAGAGATTGGTTAGAAGACAAGGCATTCGTCCAGCTAAGGGGTGGTGATGGCTTAAAGTTAAGGACTGGGAAGGGAGCAAAGGAATAAGGTGGAAGACAGAGACCTAGAGGCCAGACAAGCTTAGAGTGTTATGTGCACATACCACATAAGCCACCCAAAGAGGAACACGACCTGTGCCAAACAGCTTAGAGACTGTGGGAGCTAGGTTTTGCCAGGGCACTAGGATTTCTGGTGAATAAAGGAAGCACTTTGGGAAAGGCAAGAGTCTGTAAAGCCACAGTGAGGGAAAGTAGTCAATTACTCTGCAGGAAAAGGAAGGATTGCTAGACCACCTACAGAACCTGAGGGTCTCCAAGCAGGACCTTGCCCCTTGTATTCAAGACAGAGAGCCATCTTGGTGATTACTGTGAGCTGACATCATGGAAGTCTTGACCTCAGCCAGGAAGCCTAACAGTCCCCAGGTAAGTGCTGGCACTTTGTTCCACATGGTGGCTGCATCCTTTGTCAATGACAGATTCTGGCTTCCCAGCAGTTGTCAGTCATGCTACAAAGGGATGGCTGCTGCACTTCCAATGGGAAGACTGCCTTTTTCATCTACCCTCTTATCTAGCTTTTTATCTAACTGAGAATGAGCCCACTGGTCTTGCCAAAATGTTAAAACTGTTAACCACAGCACGTCTATATGTGAGCCACTTTCTACCTATTGGCCAGAGATCTGTACCTACAGGTTTCGTTTGCAATTTCTAGGTTTTTTTTTCTCAGTATCCTCTGTAACTCTCTCACCCGAAACTTTATGTATTACAAAAATACATATTCCAGGTATACCTCTCTCTCTATTTTCTGTATCTCTGTGTTTACATATGTTCCACTGCCACTCCGCCAGCTAATCAATCTTAAGCTACCTGTAAGTAAAGGACTTAATTTTACCATCAACATTCAACTAGCATTTTGAAAATCAGTTTCTAACCATTCAACTACCACTCACTACATTGTTGAAAAATGCACTTTCTTGGACTTCCCTGATGGAATCAACCCCAAAGATGGACAAAGAGAAATGAGAAAATGTTGACATGTCCAGGCAAATGTCAATTCCTTACAAGCTGAAAGAGCACCTACATTTACAGACCAGATAAAAATATATTCATATATGCATTTCTATGGCTTCTGTGGGGGAAAAATCTGGGAGGGTGCCATTTGATGTGGATTCTGAAGCCAATTCACATAAATGTCAAGTAAAAGAAGTAGCAGAAAAAGATGAAAATAGGGTCTGATAAACTGTGCATCGTCTCAGATTGGCAAATCCACATGGAAGGCTGTCACAGTTCATTTTGAAAGTGATTGGAAATAACACCAGCTCGACATTCCTCATTTTCCTTTCTTCTGCTTTACTAAACATCTTTAGCTGCTGTCTCCGAGCTTCCATTTCTCAGCTGCAATTTGAGAATGTATAGGGGTAGTCTTCACCCTCTTTTACTTGCCTGTCTTCCTCACTGCTCTCCTCAGAACACAGCACTGCCTCACTGTTGTCACCTTTCTTCTCATTGTACAGTTCATTTCCACCCCCTCTATAATGAGGTACATCAGGAAGTTTTCAATCTCCTAGACCATCTCATCAATTAATCAATAAAAACCAGGATAATAATGTTTATTGGGTGTCTATGAGAAGCCAGACACTCTTCTCTCATTCTCTCTGTCTCTGTCTCTGTCTCTCTCTCTCTCACACACACACACACACACACAGCCTCATTTAGTTGTATTCTTATTTCTGATGGGGAAACAGAGGCTTGCTCCAGTTAGGAGTATAGCAAAGTCAAGATTTGAACACAGGTCTCTGATTCCAAAGCCTATGTGTGTTTTGGTTTGTTTTCAGTTTTTGCTACATTGCTCTTCCTTTTTACATGATTTGCTTCTGGGATTCCTTCCTATGACAACTTTCTGATGGGGGGGGCAGATAGGAAAGAGAGAGAAGAATTGCGGCATAGAATTAAAGAAAGAAATAGGAGCAGGTAGAAGCAGACAGCAGAGTTTATGTCTATCTTCTAGGCTTTTATCCTCCTTGATAAAGATTAGAAAGTGATTACAAGAGCTAGTTTTGTTCACCCCACCAGCCAGGTTTCACAGACAATGTCATGAAACAATGGCAGACAGAGCAGCCAGCATGGCATGCAACTACCCTCATGCCGCAGAGCCCTCTGGGAAGATGGTATCTGTGCCCTGTCTGTCACTTCCTTCCACTGTGCAGCACAATTGCCAAGCTTGGCCTGGCACAGTCTTGGCTCACGAGCTTCTCTGAATGATTCTGCTTGCCCATTCCCCAGTGCTTGTCTTTAAACCCTTGCCTCCATCAGAATGCAACAGGACAAGACTCAGCAAAAGATGTCTGGGAAGGTAACCAGGCTGACTTAACTAGATTTACAGGGATTGAAATGTATGGGGGAACAGAGGTTCCCAGGAGTGAGGAATAAGGTAGAGGGAGTCAGTTTCCAAAGAACAAGGAGAAAGTTCAGTTTCTGGCATGAGTGGCCAAGGGCAGAGGATGGTCAGCAGCCTGGCAG